TCAACTGCGAAAAACGCAGTTCAAATATAAATGCACTCATTAAAAAAAATTAAGCTTTCAGATTTTTAATTAAGTCCTTAAATATCCTTTGCACTTAAACCTTAAAATTCAGTTCAAAAGCAATGTCGCAAAATAATTTAAAATGAGCCTATCTTTAGATTTTCCGATACACAGTTCCGTGCGATGGAGATAAAAAGTTCCCATTGTGTTGCCATTGCTCGCTTTTAAATCGTTGAGTTTGTTAAAACAAATTTCAAATTTGGGCTTTCAGATGCCCATATTCGCAGTAGGATTACGTCATTCAAAATTGGATAGCTCTAGGTACCGTTGTTTTATCTCAATGCGAGAAACATGCATACATTTATTCAGATTCTTCATTATTTAATTTCTTCACATATAATGCAGCGCGATAGTATTTGGTGGCAACGATTCGAAAAGTGATACGCCGTTTATAGGGTTCCGACGCAAAACGAAAACAATAGTCCTTCAGGGACAAAGCCCCTTTGGACTAAAAATGGGCCTTCTGATTTTATATTAATTCAGACTTTTATCAATGTTTGTATCTTCAAATTTTTATTAATATTTTGTGTGTTACCTTTACTTATTAAATATCATGTTCAACGCACTTAGAACACATAAAATTCAATTCAACAGCAATATCACAAAATATTTAAAAAAGCATATCTTTAGAATTTCCGTATATACAGGTTTCACGCGCTGGAGATATTCCCCCCCCCCTCTCCATTGCTCTCTTTGAAATCGTTGTGTTACGCACGTTTAAAGTCTTACAAAATTTGAAATAGATAATAAAACAAATTCGGAATTTAAAATTCAGCCTTCCAAGTGCCCATGTTCGATTGGAAGACTACGTTATTCAAAATTCGATGGCTCTATGTACAATTGTTTTTCACAATGCGAGAAACATTCATGCAGTTTCTTCATTATTTAGTTTCTTTAAATGTACTGGATAATGTACTTTAAATGTACTGGCGATAATATTTGGTGGCAACAGTTTGAAAAGGGAATCGAAACAAAATGCCATTCTGAAATTAATAACCCTTCCAGACTAACGCACTTTGGGCTAATAAAGTGATTATGCTAGTTGCAAAAATTGTAACTGAGGGGTATTTGTGTTTTGACAAGTATGACTTAAGATTAATCGAACCTGAGTCTTCAAATCTTCTATAGCAGTCACGCACATAAACTGCATCTATACCTATAGATTCAAAACTATTAGCATCGCCTAGTCACAACAAATAAACAATTTTAATGTATTTTACCGGTTGCGAGAGACTAGTTTGAGACCAGTGACTTGTACCGGATTGGAAAATGAGTGGATGACCGGTGACAGCAGAGAAACCGTGACCCCCCCCCTCTTCCGAGTGCCAAATGGATCAAAGTCGTGTCTAATTAACAAAGTATCTTTGGCAAGGTACCTAATTCCCCACATCAGCAAAATCGAAAGCCTACAACTAAATTCGGGCTTCCTAAAAATGAATGCTTATTCAAGAGCCTAATAATATATACAGAAAAGAAATTTCGATATATAAAACAGCAGCTGAGTGGGTTGTATTCATTAAAATGGTGGAAATTTTAAATTATTTTTATTGTAAAATGTATAGTTAACACGAAAACAAAAATTTTAATGGATGTGTAACACCACCATAAAGTCAAAAATAGATAGAAAATGTTAAGCATAGCTGTTAGGTTTTGCAATTTAAAATAATAATAAATATACTTTTTATATAACTTTTAGAATTTTTGTTCATCTTGTTATAAAACGTTGTATCCTATTTAATTGTTGATATAATTAAACTAAATTTTAAGCGATTTTAACACGTGCCTTAACAAAACATTTTTTTGATTTTCCCCGTGTGTAACGTGTATACGAGCCAGTTTCCCTTAGAAAGTCCTCCACGAAGGCATCCCTTCCCTTAGGCAGATAGCCCTAGTGTGTTTTATCATTATAATTAAATACACCAAAACAATTTTTGTTATTTGAGCAACAAAGTATCTGGAATTTTCCCCCTATTGATTTTAATATAAAACTAATAGGAATTAAAGCTTTATTTAATTTATTAATGAACCAGTATGATACAAATACTAAGCAATAAAAATGGTCTGATTTTGCCTTGCTCGATAAGTATTGAAGTCTGATACTTTTATAATTTTGAACAAAGGCAGTGTGCGTAGAACACATATCTTAATCCGACATGTGCCTAAGCCGAAACGATTTCAAGATCAACATATCTTTTCACCTACATCTGATTTCAATTTTGTACAAATAATAAAGAAAAATGAAAACACATTTTGTTACTCAACTTGCGATTCATATTTATTCCACAATAATCTCAAGTTTAATCCAACACATACATGTTTTACTCATTCTGATATTCACTACAAAGAATACTGCATATTTATTAGGTATTGGTGCTTAGAATACCAAATTTGCGGTTGCGTAGGAACGTATCTTCGTTGATGTATTTAATTATTTATACGGTTTGTTGGCCGAAAAATTCTGAATTCGTCTTTAATAATTAAAATCAAATCTGCTTGCTGTCACTGATGCCTTTCATGTATACCAAATCAAATTAAAAAAAAATATTAATAAAAAAGTAGGTAGTATGGTTAGATTTAAATTAAAAAAGGCACCTTTTATTAGCAGAATTTGAATGAAGGAAATTAAAATCTTTTATTTGAATATATTTGTTACATATATTATTTATAAGCATAAAATATTTGCAAAATTTCAGAAATATTCCTTAGCATTTTAAAATGATGTTTCTTTTAGCTTAATAAAATTATAGAATTTATGTTTGGCAATGATTTTAATATCTGATATTCATTAAAAGTTGGAATGTATAACATGAACAATGAATTATAACGATATATAGATTTCTAACTATTTCTTATGTAAACATTAAAATCAGAAATGTTTTGCAACAATTTACATCAATTTAGTTTAAGTAAATAAGTTTTTATTTCCACAAAAAGCTACACACTAGCGTGCCCGTTTATTCTAAAAAAAATTTACTTTATTCATTTCAAAGCAAAAATCTAAAATTATACTTCAAGTTCATTATTATGATGCTTTTAGAAACGCTTTACACACGAAAAATCGGTTTTGCAAGCTGCTGCAATTTATAAATCGATACAGAAGTTGAAACAAAAGTTTAGAAACACATGACTGATACTATCATATAGAGATAAAACAACTAAATATCTAAGAGACAGATGGTCCGGTTTCAGACATATTCGAGCTTCATCATAAATTTTAAAAGTAAATAAAACATGTATTTTCAGTCGTGCTACACATACGTGGACCAAAGATTTAACGACGGTGCGTGACTTTGGCTTCACTTTACATTACATGAAGACTTCATAATTACTGTTCCTACGTTTTATTTTCTGCTATACATTTCTATATGTTTTATGTTTAGTTTTCACAAGTTTTTAGTCTTGTTATTCAGCACTTTATAAAAAATGCAAACAATGGAAACATAAGCATGTTTTATGGATAATAACTATTTAAATATTATTTTTAAAATTTATAAAATAATTTTAAAAATTTTCACAAAAGTAAACATTTTTGCCTCTTAAAGCTTGATAACCATAAAATCGTTGTTGAAAATATAGAAAACTGTATATAACCAAAAATTACAAATATAAGATTTGTTTAAACAACATAAATTTCGGCAATAAATGGCATAGCACTCAACGAAGCACAGGATCTTAGAAATATTCCACCCTAGGTTTTGTTAAATGCTACCATCTTTGCAATTTTATTTGTAGCAATTATAAAAAAAAAAAAAAAAAAAAAAAAAAAAAAAAACTATTGAAACTTTTGCTGCAGGCAAAATTTTCTGTCACCTTGAAATTAATCATGAACCACTTCTAAAGATTATCATTATTGTGGCAATATAAAATACACTTATACGTAACCTGAACAATAAAAATAAATAAATAAATAAAACTTTTGCTTATACTTTGGTTTAAAATCATACTAATCTCTTAACAGGTAAAATGGTTAGCTAAAAATATATTGTCCTGAAATTTAGGTGCGTTATTAGATTCTAACTAAAATATTATTTCACTTTTGCAATAATTTCTAATCTATGATAATTTCTAATTTTTAAATATTCAGTTCACAAACTGTCTGAGCTGTGTCGTGCCAAATAAAAACACTTGCAAAAAAAAAATAAACTCAGACAATCAATTTCTTGAAAGATAACAAATTCACATTAAAACAGAAATTTCCAATAAATCATAAATTAAGCATTAAAAATTTAAGTTAAATGAAAATTTTTCATGACACTTTAAAAATTGTTATTTATTACAAAGTATGTAAGTATTAAGTATAAACTTAATTTTACTGCACACTATGTATAATTCTTTTTTACAACTTCTTGTTTTTACAGTATTTTCGACTCGAATATATTCACATTAATTCTTAAATTATTATATTAGCTTCTTTTGATTCAAAAATTGCAAAAATACTACTTAAGGTATGTCTATAAACTCAAGGAACATTATTATTAAAATGAATTATCATGGCACTGTATGTATAATACATACAAGATATTTATAAACACATAATAATTGAAAGTCAGTGTAAGTCTAAAAGGATATATCGATTAGCTTAAAAAAAGTGGGGGAAACATTACTCTTATCCCATAACTCAATACATTAGTAAAAAGTAGAAAATTTATAAAATGTGCAGCTTAAAATTTAAGCAGCAGGACCCTGTTTGCACCACTTGTGTATATACCGAAAATGCCCACATGTATATACATTTGTTTAGAAATACAGTTTCATATTTATTCAATATTATTTCACGAAAAATATTATATACTTGTACGCATACCCATTCAAAATTCAGTTTCATATTAACAGTTAACATTTGAAACACTTTGCAACAATTAGGAGGAAAGAACTGAAAAATTTATATGGATTATTTCATATATATTATTTTAAACAATTCTTAAATAATTTGAACTTACCTGTATGCGTTCTCTTATGAATCTTCAAGTTTTCACTTCGCGCGAACACTTTTCCGCACCCATGGTAAGGGCAGGGAAAGGGTTTTTCTCCTGTGTGTACCCGGATATGGTTGACAAGTTTGTATTTGGCTTTGAATGGTCGGCCGTTGCGGGGACAGTCCTGCCAGCTGCAGGCATGATTCGTGCACTCAGGCCCACCGACATGTTCTACTGTGATGTGAGACACGATTTCGTGCATGGAAGTGAAAATCTTGCCGCACGTTTTTTTGGGAGACATCTGGTCACTGTCTATCCAAAGGCATGTCATGTCATGCTTGATAGTAGGGTTCCTCATGTAGCGAAAGAAAGCAGTCCCCGGGGGGCCTATATGATGAGAATGGTGGTGGTGGTGCTGGTAAGGGTTGCTAAATGGATCTGATCTTGTTATTTGGTGGTGGTGGTGGGGATGAGCGAAACCGTCAGTCCTAGAGTAAACATCAGTTGCCCCCGTTAAAGGTATCCTCATCTGGGTATGGTGGTGATGGTGATGGGGATCAAGACTTGGGAAAAACATATGCGATGGGTCCGGGTGAAGGGGCCCGGTTGGACCCCCGAACGTATCCGAAAGCGTTTGCATATGGTCCCGCCGCAGCAGGTAGTCCCTCGTGCTGCCGTAACCGGCCGTCGACATATGTCCGTATCCATTCTGTTGATGCGTGAACTGTTGGTGGTGGTGATGTAAAGCATTAGTTTGGTGACCGGGGCTCAGTTTGATGTGACCCATGGGGCCGCCGCCCTCCATGAACGGGTTAAGCATGTCCGTCTGGGAATCTGTCGTTCCTCCTGCGCGGTGATGCTGGAAGGGGAACCCAGTCATAGTGCTCCCGTACGGCTGCTGATCCGCCAAACTGCGCAACGCTGCTGGACTCGGCTTGAAGCCGTCTTCCATAATGACGATGCTCGACTTGCCAGGGGCCCCCTCTGTGCCCTCATTCGCCCGGCCCAGAACCCCCTAGAGTACCTCCATTGGACGCCTACAGCTTCTGCGCAGCGTGCAGTGATCGTCTCCACCAATGCGGAAGAAGCCTCCCTCCGAGACGTCCTGGGGAGGAGGGGCCCACCTGCCAATCAAGCGCGGTAGGTGGAGATAGCCAGTGTTCACGTGGCTTCGATAGCTAAGAGAGGAACATGATAGTTCTACCTAAGGCGATGAGCTAAATGCCACATACCGCGGGAAAATTACAACAAACATAAAATAGAATACATTGGGTCGAATATCATCGATCTGTTATTTGAAACAGTTTAGGAATAAAGCACTCTTTTTGCAATTTTAGCAACATGGATCAGGATTTCTGAACTCTTTATCTAAAGAATTATATCTTGCGAAAAAACATTTGTAAGGTATATTAAATCGTAATTCTGTAGTACGCACTTTTAGGGTCCATTTGTCAGTATTCATGTTACCTACTCTACTAAGTGAAGTTCGTCAAGTTTTCATTATTATTTCTATCATCTGAAATGTGGCAAACAGTGATTAATACATAGTTCTTTGATACGTGTTTGGCTATTTATGTACATAACAATCGATGCACGTACGTAACAAGGTACCTAAAAAATTGTAATCCATTATATGTCTCATAAATATTTTGTTATAAATTTCAACAGGCAATATTAGAGAAAATTCGAGGGTACGAGGATTTATAATAATTGGTATCTCAAAGATTCGAAATAAAACTTCGCTCTTTATAATAAAGTTTTTGTTCAAAGGTATATAAATACATGACAACTATGAACGAAAAATTTCTTTGATAAAATTAAATTAGAAATTTTTAATGTGATGGTTACTTTCGTACAGTACATACAGGCGTCGTAAATATGATCATATTTGATTTAAATGGCATTATGTTTTAAAATGAGAATTTTAAATTATGACATGTATTCATAAAAGTTATAGTTCAAAATTCTCGGTACGTTTAATGGTAATTTACACTCAGCCATTTTCTTCGGTAAATCATTCTAAATTAAATTTAGAATCAATAAAATGATTTGCTTTTCAGGAAGATATAGGACTACCCTTTTTTTTACATGCAGATACGAAATCTTTCGCCAATAAAATGCCTTGAATTCATTTGAAATGACTAAACAAAGCAATGCGAAATTTATTTTTCGAGCTAAATTTAAAAAACAATACTGATAAAATAAAATCTTAAAGCTTTCAGATTTTATATTACGCCCAATGGGGAGTTTTTTTGCTTTACACACACATACACATTTCGACAGCATTTGAACGAATGCCCCTTTGAGCTAAAAATATTTAAAAACAGCATATCCTTAGAATATCTTTAATTTATATTTAATTCAGCTTAGAATTTCCAATAGACAGGTATAAATATTTTATTGCTGGAGGTAATTCCCCCGTACAATGTTCCCATTCCTCGCTTTGAAATCGTTGAGTTTCTTAATCCAAAACTCGTTTTAAAGTTTTACGAAATATGAAATAGATAGTAAAACAAATTCCATATTTCCAGTTTGGGCTTCCAGGGGCCCATATTCGAGTGGAGGACTACGTTATTCAAAATTTGATGTCTCTAGGTACTCTTGGTTATTCACAGTGCGAGGAACATACATGCATTCATGCAGATTGTTCATTATTTAATTTCTCTAAATATAATACAGGGCAATAATATTTGGTGGCAGCATTTTGAAAATCGAAACGGACTTTTATAATGAGCCGACGCAAACTGCTATTCCGGGACTAATAGACCTTTTGTACTAACTCCTTTTTTATCTAAAAATAATAAATAAATAAATGAAATTAATCTCTTAACAGTAAAGCATGCGTAATCGAATTTCGGTAACCCTAAACTGAATGGAGTTATAAAAGATATATATATATATATATATATATTATATATATTTTTTTTTTCCAAGATATTTAAGGTTCCAAACGAGAGTTGAAACGAGAGTTAGAAAAAATAATGCTTCAAAATATATTCGATTTTACTTAGATAACGCTTATAAACATATTTAGGGCATAACAACATATTATAAACATATAAAAGAGAAATTACTGTTTACATTAATGATTAAAGTTATTTTGATACTTCAAAATATTAAAGCATAATTAAAAGCCAGCGCCGGACTTAGCATTTTTCCTAGGCGGGGCAAAAACTTAAAACTGCCGCCCTCACTTATCTTCTTTTAAGTTTCTCTAACAAATTTAATTTTTTTTTAATAAACATGGAAATAGGTAGGGTGTGAGATAAAATGTAAAATCTATTTTATAGAAAGAAATTCTTTATGTGCCATTTTTGTTATAAAAGAAATATACATAACAAATTGTTTAGTTTCTTTACTTACGGCAAATCATAAGAGGGCTATCTGCCTAAGAAGACAGATGCCTTCGCTGATGGCTTTCGAAGAGTAATTGGCTTGTATGCAAATAACGCATGAGTGAAACGACGGAGACGCCCATGGAGCCAGCAAATTCGCCGGGATTCTAACCCCTGACCGAACTACCAGTGTTCAGAGTTTACCGCTCAGCCGCTGGAGGCCCGACATACGGTATATTTAATTATGGCAAAGCACACTAGGGTTATCTGCCTAAGGGGAGGGATGCCTTCGTGGAGGACTTTCTAAGGAAAACTGGCTCGTATACACGTTACACATGGGGAAAACCACGAAAACACCCATGCAGCCAGCCCGTTCGCGGGATCCGAACCTCGGACCGAACTACCAGTGTTTAGCGACTTTACGATCGGCCGCTGGTGGGCGGAGGCCCGACATACATATCAAAAGTTACACGGATAAAAACCTCGCGAACCCTCCTAATGCAGCTGTCTCTCCGGTGCAATAAAATAATCAAATTTACATTTTCCCTGAAATAGGCATTTTTTCAATATTTGCAGCAATAGTTACTCATACTAATAAAGGATACCAATAGAAAACGATTCAATACAAAACACTAAAATAGCTCAGCACAGTACAAAAATGGGAATCACACATTATTAAATAATTAAAAATTTCATGTAAACAAATATAAGCAAATTACAAATCACTAATGCAATGGATTGAATAATTTTATACCAATTTCTCTATACTAACAATAACTTTAACCTAGCACGTTAAAATTCGCAATAACTCCTTTATGTAAACTACTCAAGAACTCTGTTATCGTCCTCACACAGGCCCACCAGCGGCCGAGTGGTAAAGTCGCTGAACACTGGTAGTTCGGTCCGAGGTTCGAATCCCGCGAACGGGCTGGCTGCATGGGCGTTTTCGTGGTTTTCCCATGTGTAACGTGTATACGAGCCAGTTTCCCTTAGAAAGTCTCCACGAAGGCATCCTCTTAGGCAGATAGCCGTCGAGGCTTTGTCATAATCACACACACACGTCCTCACACAGCTCGATAACATAATAAACCAGCTCGATAACATACATTTATATATTCAAAATATTTACATATTTCACACTATTTTTGCACTGTAATAATCAAATTTACATAGAAATTCTCTGAAGTATGCAGTTTTGAAATATTTGCAACAATAACTAGCCAAACTAATGGGAAATGATTCAGTCCTAACTACTAAAGCAGTTTAGCATAGTACAAAAAGTAGGAATGACGCATTACTAATTAATATCTGAAACAAATATATACAAGTTACAAATCACGAATGCAATGTATTCAGTAATTAAAACACCAATTTCTCGAAATTAACAGTGATTTTAACCTAGCACTTTAAAATTTCATTTCACTATAATGCCTTTATGTAGACTACTCAAGAACTCTACTATCGTCCTCACACAACCCGATAGCAGTATAAATATTTTACATACTATATTCACAGAAAAGAAAGAGCTCTTGGTTCGTATGTTATGGCAAAGTACCCGAAGGATATCTGCCTCAGGCAACTTGTTCGCCTGCGATTGAACCTAGCGTACAGCGGTTTTCAATTCGGTCACTAGTAGGAGCACATTTTCAAGATAAACTGGCTCGTACTCACGTTACATATAAGGAAAATCCACGAAAACTGTCACGCAGCCAAATCATTCTCTTGAATTTGAAACTTCGATCAAAATACCAATGTTTAATGACTTTACCGCTTGATCGCTGGTGAACGCACAACTTTTGAAATTAGTCTTGTGAGATGCTGTGTGTTGAACAATATATTAAAGAACACAGAAGGTACAATAATAGTAAACGCAAAAGTGCGCTGAATATATAATATGGAGGAAAAGCCACGAAAACTGTCATGCAGCCAAATCATTCTCTTGAATTTGAAACTTCGGTCAAATTACCAATGTTTAATGACTTTACCGCTTGATCGCTGGTGAACGCCACAGCTTTTGAAATTAGTCTTATGAGATGCTGTGCGTTGAACAATATATTAAAGAAGATAGAAGGTACAATATTAGTAAAAGCAAAAGTGCGCTGAATATATATTTACATATCTGGTAAATGAATTACATTTATCTCTATACAATCATGAAACATTATATCACAAAAATATAAAGGAAAAAGAAAATATAATCAAAATATTAGAAGCATTTGCTATTATTTCCGGTATGGCTGGAAATTTTTATAAAAATTGTAAATGAGCTATACTATTAATCACGTTAACTTGTATTATAAATAGCGACAAATTAGAGATATTATTAGCATAACTCAGCGTCATCTCTCTTTAAAATAAAAATAGTTTTATTGAAACCTAAACCTAAACTGAAAAATAAGATGCATACTAACGATTCATCAACGCGAAGACGTTAGAAACATCTTCTGTTAACTAGAGTTGTGATGCAGAACTTTCTAAAAATTATCATTTAAATACAAATTGGATTAATACAATACAACAATATACAAATTCTAATGTATAGCAAAAAGAAATATATAATGCAAGTTTAAAAAGAAATGGGTGAACAGGACATTAAAAATTTTAAGCGATGAATAGAAGGAAGTTAGAAATTTT